CACTGTCTTGCGGGCCATGTGCGCACCACGAGGCAAGGAGTGACAAAATTGGTTTGCAGCCTCCATCTTCTATGGCTAGCCGCTAGATGCTCATGCTCTGCTGCTGGTGTGACGGCTGCATCAGCTTTGGTTCATGTGTTGCCTGCTTACACACGGTCCTGTCGCAAGGTCCAAGGTTTCTTTCCAGGGATCCTTGCGCCCCAAACACTTGAACGAGTTGCATCTCCCCAACTTTACATTCCCCCGAAGCCATGCGATATGCTTCATTCCGCGGACTCAGGGAATGGGAGAACCAAGCAATGCCACAGGCCGTTCAATCGAGCCACCGATCCCTTGGTAATACTAGAATATCCCGCATCGGTTTTGTCTAATTATGCAGGCTACTCTTCAGGGCGCTATAGTAGCGACAGGCTGAAGCAAGAGTATCTGGCTGCTGCGAGAGATTCCTAGAAGATCCGCTTCAAGGATTAGGGTTCAATTAGTTGTTAGGCTGTTTTAGGCTTCAGGGTGTTGCAACAATCTTGATACTTTCGCCCAAATCCTTAAGAGAAATTAAGCTCTTAAACACGCGGCGGGTCCCCTACAGCCTAAGCCCTAAAGCCTTGCAGCCCTGATGCTGCAGAGTCCAAGCCCCGCAGCACCCTGAAGTGAGGACGGCGAATTGGCCACCCTCCCCCCGTCGAAGTTTTGGCGGCCGGTGATGGGTCCTCCCCCAGGTAGGGGGGAGGGGAGGGTGGGTGTCTTTTGCGAGGCGACAGTCCAGAGATTGGAGTCCAGGGCCGATCTAATATAGGGCCCTAAATAGTTACTTATATGATCTTGGGGGTTCCTGATTATAATGGGTCCCAAGACCTTCTTCTAATTATTAAGGCCCCTCTATTTGGGCTTCAGCGGCGCTTTGAGGGTCGAGTGCTTTGAGTCTCGGGATTCCTGCGGTGGTTTTGTTGCCACGAGCATGCAAGAATACAGTGAGGACTCTTTCTAGCTTTACGTTCTGCGGTAGCCGCATATCTGAGCCATGTTTGCAACATACGAACAACAGTGACTTACGTACATAGGACACTGGATGCACGTACTCAGATGCCATTTCTACCTCTTCCTGACATGTGCACCTTAAACCTTGCTCATGCTGATGCCATTGCCATGGATAGTATACATGCGATGGGTCTTCGCATGTTGAATTTGTCGCAGCTCACGCGCAGTTTTGTAGTTGTGTTCTGATCAAGACACGGGGCTCTGTTCACGACACTACAAACGAACAGCATATGTCTCATGTTACGTTTCTTGGTGTTGTGGTTGTCGCGCGAAGTACCATCATTCACTATGACTACGGAAGCCACTCCGGTGGTTATTTTCCGTGTCACTGGTCGTTGTTGGTATTACTATTTGTGATATCTGCAACAACCCTATCTCTCGAGGAATCGAGGGTTGGAATCAACGTACCAGCCAGGCCCAGAATGCATGGGAATGGTCTGCATCATAGAGCAGTGCGCAAAAAGTTTCCTCGACTGCGTCAACTCATCATCGGAACAGCACCTTCCGGTATGTCGACAGGCCTAATTAGGACGCCTGAACCAAAGCAGCCGAAAGCAAAGTCAAAGAAGGAACCGCAAAATACACCGCCCGAAGCGGGAGTAAGATGTTCGCCGTGCCATCAGACGCCCAAAGGAGGACAGGGCAGGAGAGGGCAGAGAAAACCAAGGGTGCACAGCATGGAGAGGTGGGAAAGCCACCGAAGCCCAATGCAACATCCAGGCAATCATGGAAACAACACAGTGTCGAATGGAATGCTTCCGTTGACTTTTGGGGGCTTGGAGTCAAGAAAGGCTTACCGTTCTTAGCGTAATTCAGGAATGCAACGACTAGGCAGGAGATGTACACAGAACAAAGTATACCCCCTCCTCCTAAGCTCAAAACCTTAGCTGCAAAACCCATGTAGACCCCTTATACTGATCCGCGCCTGTTTTCAAAGCCGATAACAGCGCCAAAATTCTTAGACTCTGCGGCCTCTAGACGTGATTTAGGTCTTAGGGTGACTCTAACTCTAACCTAAGCGTACATTAAACTAGTTCATTGAATCTCCTGTAGAGCAGCATGCCGCACAGGTACTTTGTTACATTACATCACAGAATAGACTATAAGAAGCAGTCTTGTCTAGAAGTCGAGTCTAGTGTGGTCTAGTGCATTCTGTTAGTACAGGGGCCTTAGTCATTAAATAGGTTTGGGGGGTATATTATTATAGTATAAAAATAGTAAGGAACCCTATTTAAACAAAAAAACCTATTCTAATTCCCTAAACCCTAAACCCTAAACCCTAAACCCTAAAGGCCCATACAATTATGGCGAAAGCCTCATCAGGTCTGGAGCCTATGGAGGTTTCACTGTTGCAGCAGCCTCTTCTCGAGGTGATGCAGCAGCTGCAGGTCCCTTTTGGAGCTTCTTAGTGGCTTTTCTTTGGGGAGATTTTTCCTCAGTTATTACTAGTACTTATTATTGTTATATTTATTATTTGAAATTCAGTGTTTAGTATTGTTATTATGCTTATGATGATGATTATTCTTCTTATTTTGGGGTGTCTCGTGTGGTTGCTGGCAGTCTCGGGGTGTCTTTTTAGGTATTCCAGGGGTCACAGCGGCCTGAACGGGGTACATGTGGGTTGAGCAGGCTCGTTTGGGCTTTTGTACATTGACTTTGGGGGTCTAGTAGTATCCCCGTAGTAGAGTCGGCTTGCAGTTACTTGAATCATTCAGACCCCCATATTGGACCCTATAAATCCCGTGTCCAACCTTGCAGAGCCCTGCTCCAATGATTCAAGGCAACCCCTGTATCACATGAGGGCATTCGGGAAGCAGATTTCTTGGGAGCATCAACCGTTGTTCACACGAGTTCTTTGTTTCGACATGCGAATTCCCGCAAGTTGCGTCGGAAGGCCCCAAATTGCCCAAAGTCGGTACTAGTGTATACAGTAGAGTAGACCCCAAGGTGCGTACTTCTTCTTTTCTTGGCATCTGGGGTGGTTTATAATCAGGATTAAACTGCACACCCCGGAACCCGAAACCCTGACCGGATCGGTGAGGTCGGTATGGGGGCCCGCTGTGCTTTCTGAAGTTCTTACATACCTAGCAGCTCACTGTTGGGTACGTGTGATGTTACCTTCATTTTAGCATCATTACTCTCAGGGTTTAGGCTCTATCAAGAGCAGGTTGTAAATTCTTGGGCCAGTGATCTCAGCTCCTATCCAACATACCAGCCACCCAGTTTTCTTTGGTTGTGAGAGCCTTGTCGGCCCTGCAGTGCACTTCCAACAGGTGGAGCCAAAGGGTTCAGGGGTTTAAAGGTTTGCGGGTTTCGAGATTCAGTGGTGCCTTCGGGCCACGAGGATAGTCATGCACCAACTTTCTGGCATGTACTTGGGAGCAACAGGACACAAAACCTTTTTGCATGAACTCCAAAGCCTTTAAAACTCCGCCGGAAAGATGGCGGGGTGTTGTATTTGGAAGTTGGCGTGCAGGATGGTGTGTCGCCTCCGTTGGCGCATGCTTGATTGTTGACTTGATCTACTGCCACGACGCTGCCAAACCTAAGCCCCAAGCCCCAACAACATAGTCGGCTTGTGGAGTTCGGGAGGCTGTAGTTCTTGTTGAGTGCGCAATCAGGGACCCTGTGCACGTGTGAGGAGCATCACTAGATGACACCTTGGGGCATCTCCTGGCACTCTTTCTCTCTGAAGCACAGGGTTAGAGAAGTCGCCGGCATAGGCCGCGATTTCGCTGGGACGAGGCTACCGTATGATGGAACCTTGTGCGTCTGTCATGTTGTGGCTTAGAAGTAGCACCTAATGGGGAGGGAGGCAGGGCCGGGGGGAGGGGGGTGGAATTAATCCTAACACATCCTATAACTAACAGAATCTCCAAGATATATCCCCACTTACAAGTAATACAAGCCCCCTAAACTGAAGCCTACTAAGCCGCTAGACAGCCCAAGCAAAAGCCCGAAAACTGCAGGGCTCAAACCCCAAGTACCCCAGTGACATTGCAGGTGGAAGTCAATCCGATAAAGCAGCCGGATACGTTCAGCTTGTGTCACTTGGAATGAGGATCGGCCCTTGAGGGGCTTTAGCATTTGGGGTGTTGGGTTTGTTCTTTGGATTGTTGGGTATAGATAGGATACCATGAAAAGGGCTGCCTATAAGGCTGCTCGGAACTTCGGGGAAGTGTCTATTCGGGCTTCATTTGCAGATACGTGTGCTGCAAACCCTACATCATGTTTGCATCTACGACTTCGGGGTTAGAGGTTGGTGTTCTCCGGTTCGGGTAGTGGATTCGAGAAGACGTCTCACAGCGCCATGGAAGCCTTGCCAAGCTCGAACTCCTGAGACTCAGTGGCTGAGCATGTGACCTGAAACCGCCGTTTTGGGCTCATGCAACCCTAAGATGAGGGTTTGAAGAGTGAGTGCCTCATCATGGCTGTTACTCCAAACCTCGAAACCTACATACCCCACACCCAACGCACGACCCTCGAGAAAATCAACGACCGTTGAAACACTGTTCTGCTGTGATGCAAAATCCACCCATGCAGAGCATAAAAATCCGAGTCCTTACAAGTTACTATTAGAGATTCTGAAAACTGAAACAGTTCCTCGGATGTTTGAGCTTCTTCGGCTCTCAACAGTTACTCTTGTCCAGCCCGTTTACCATTCTTTTAAGACGCACCCCGAGCCGGATGTTTCGCAAAATGCCCTCTGTCATGTACGGCGGCCAGGGTTTCCGGGTGCTTCGTTTTTCCCAACTTAGGGTTTAGACTTTGTGGCTAATCGGCTAAGGTTGCGTTTTCTAGACGCTTAAGGGCCCATGTTTTGATTTTAGGAAATAGCCCGAACCAACGCAAAATGCTGAGGGTCGGACGAGTGCGGATTGCACCCGAGCAGCATCCAGTGGCTAGCGGCGATGAAGATGAATCTGGGCCGTTCTTGAAAGTTTTTTCCAACAATTTGACGAGCAAGTACATTCTTGAGCAGGAGCAACACGAACAAACTTTTGTAGACAGAGAGGGAAAATGTGTGCTGTGAAGTTGTCTAGCCTTCCGACAGAACAAGAAGTATAGTTTTTCCGTTCACCCAGAACAGCACAGGATGATCCGCAACATTCCCGCTCGCTGCACGGAGCCAGAGTTTCGAATGTTTCTCAACACCCTCGCCATCAGCGACTATGTGCTTCCGATGCCCTTTGGGGTTCAGAGTCTTTGGGGGGGGGGGGGGATATTCACACGAAGGATCCTACAATCAATGTAGGTTTTGGTGTGGGTCCCGTAGGAATAATCCTAAACCAGACGCTTACACCCTAAATCACTAAACCGGTAAACTCTTACCCTCCTCAAAACCACGAAACCCCTAAACCGAGAAAGCCTGTACACCCTTAGCACTTCAAACCTAGATCCCTCATGCGGACCCTTGCAGGAACCCTCAAAAGTAGCCTGCAAGCTTAATATCACAAGTAAAGCCCTACATCTGTAATCTCTGAACCTTAAACTCCTAAACCGAAATATTTCTAGACGGGACCCAGGGTTTAAGGGTCTTTCAAAGGTTTGTGGTGGCTTTGCAAGGGTCCTACAAGGGTTCTATGGGGAGTTAGGGGGTTTAGGGAGGATTTTGGGGTTTGGGGTTCCCTTAAGTGCATGAAGGTTCGGGGGGGCTCCATTACCACGATCAACGATACACCTCTGCCCTTTCAGAACCCCAGCGATATAGGGCCCCTAAAGAAAGCTGGAAGGAACCCCCTAAACCCTAAACCCTAAACCAGGAACCCCCTAAACCAGGAACCCCCTAAACCCTAAACCCTAAACCAGGAACCCCCTAAACCCTAAACTCTAAACCCTAAACTCTCAGGTGCTTGAGATGCCCAAGACCAGCCTCTCGAAGTGCAAGGGGTACGCCTTCGTACAAATGCGTGACCCACGCGATCTGGTTGCTCGGCCACCCTTTGGGTTCCTTAGGATTCCTTCAAGGGTTTTATAGGGGTTTAGGGTTCAATGTTTAGGGTTTAGGGTGTATAGGGCTTCAGGATTTTTGAACATTGAACCTGTGGGGGGCTCGTAGCTCCACAGTCGCAGCATCCCCACAATGACAAGCTCAACCTTCTATTCCTGGGGCCAATGGGCTCGGCAACGAAGGATTTTGCGTTCGGCATCACTGCGGTAGGGAAAGTAAGCCAGGCAGGTCAGTGACTCTGCCGTGGTATTCGGATACGCCATCAAACACACACACACACACACACAGAGCGCTCTGAAACCCAAAACCCCAGACTGTAAACTGCCACAGACCCTCCTGAGGTTGTTTTGGCGCAAGAGATCTGGCAGAAGTGCGTCCCCAGCCGCATGAGTTCAAGGCCCATGAAGATCCACCCTGCAGAGCCCACAGGAGGGTACATGTAAGGGGTTTCGGGTTTCCTCTTCAGTAACATTACCATGAAGGATCCTGTGATCCTAGTTGTCGGGGTTTTTGTTTGGAGACCCTGATTTTCTGAAACCCTGCCGAGCCCGCAAGGGCAGACCCTGTAGACGACATCGTTCATGTCGTAGAGCTTAGGGCCATAAGGTTGATCCAATCCTGGAAAGGGTCTGCCAAGGGCAGCCGGTGTAGAAGGCTATCCATGTCCGACTATTTGGGAGTTGCTGAAAAATACGGATGCCAGATTCGTCGGTCTACGGTCTCTTTGTGCGTATATCAAGGACCCTACTAGTCGGGGTGAATTATTCCTTTTCAATCATGTACTGGCATCGTTTATTGTTTCCGAGACTCCCATGCGAAGCCTCTGGGGCCAACTCGACCCCCTCGGCACTCCGCAGCCTGACGCTAGCTTAGGGATTAGGGTGTTCAGATTCTCCTGTGCCCTCTTGTCCAACACCTCCAAACTGAAAACTGAATAGCTGGGTTACTCACGCTTATTTCAGTGGATAGCTGCGCGACTGGTAGCGGTAGGCTTTTAAGATTCCTATGCTGCAAGGACCAGAACTCAGCAAGCCGGGTTCGATTTGGTGGAGTCTTTCCTCGTGGCAACCCCACTTGCAGTAAGTCTGCCACTCTACGCTGCAGGTCTAAATATAGAAGCTTGAATGATTATCAAGACTCTTCCTTGGGGTTGCGCATATAATGTGGTTATAATGTGGCTCTGGCCGGCCCCGGGGCCCTATTCTAGTCGTTGAGGCCATAGATTACAGTAGTGGCGAAGGGTATAACTTTGGGTCGACATCTTTGAAAGCATTGCTGTGGAAGTGCTTGGGGTTTTAAGGCTTCGAGGCCCAGAGACCCGGCTTTTGATTCGATCAGCCGGGCAGCACAGTGCGTCACGTGCACAGATGATCTCTGTCTGAGGCATGCCAGCACTGGGCAGAATGCAACCCAGGCTCCTGCCAAGTCACCAATCACAGAGCGCAACAAGCTGTTTGGGTCCTGCTCTTGACTTTAGAAAGGGTCGCCAGCAAAGTGAACTGGCCATGTGCATCCACGACATCACTAACCATGCGAGCTTGTGCGTCTTATCGTAAAGTGGCAGCAGCAGTCACCGTCTTCGCCAAAAAGGTCAAGAGTCAAGACATTCGCTGTCATGCACACAGCAGAATTTTGTTGAACTGCTTTTGCATATCAAAACAACCACCAACATTGATAGTACTGTTCAGTCCGCTGCTACTGGTACCGCTCCTGCTCCTGCTCCTGCTGCTGCTGCTGCTGCTGCTCCTGCTACTGCTATTCATGCTCCTACTGCTACTACTGCTGCTGCTGCTACTACTACTACTACTACTACCACTACTACTACTACTGCTGCTGCTGCTGCTGCTGCTGCTGCTGAGTGCGACGACGACCGTAAGGTTCTAGCACTAAACCCACTATTAGACAGTGTCGTGTCAACAAGGATGAGAGCTATCTTTTCCTAGCGGCGCACTTGATGTCACACGCAGCGTCGACAGAACGGCTTGGCTGGAGTCATGGTCATTTCAATTGCTTCTTCTGGTGGCTCATCAGAGCTTGTGTGTTCAACGCCTTGCAAGGCGACCCCACATGCGAAAAACCACTGTCTCGATCTTGACACCCAGGCCTTTAGCCTCGTCCATTCACATGCTGAGAGGACTTGGTATCAAGGTGGTTACTTAGGGAGAATCAGGAACAAAGCGCCCAAACTAGGGTACAAGTACTGTAACACCCAAAATAAGTTCGTTGATGCTTCAGGCACCCTCACCCTGCATCAAGTTTTGCGGCTGAAGGGTTGAAGATCCTCCAGACCCCCAAGACCCAAAAAAAAGTCCGACGCCCAAAACCCTATAAAGCGCCATTTTTTCGTGGGGTCGTCCAATTCAGCTGGCACATGGGTGCTTCGAAACGTCCGACCGAAAGGCCAAACCGAGCCCGACCACCACCCAGTCTAGGAGTCTAGGGGTTCGAGAGTACAAAGTCTCAAAATACTGCCCGTACATGTGCATGTATAGATCCACAAAAGCTGGGTATCATCGGTGTTTTGGGGTTATTTTGGAATTGATACAGGCATGGATTGAGTTTGCTGAGTCCGGAGTTCGAAAGACAAGACCAGGTTTCTTGTTTCATGTTTCGAGAGACTTAGCGAGAGGCTTTCCCTCGTAGCATAGCATGCAAGGGTAGAAGTGGACCCTTGTATTGCGGCAAAGCACTGGCTGGTCTTCAAGAGAGAGGCACCGCCTGTGATCCTGAACCCATCTTGAAGCGACAAGGAGCTTGGCAGGAAGGATATGTTGCCGACATCCGAAAACGGAGCAGGTGGTGCCCTATGAGAATAGAGTTTAGGTAAGGTTTTGTAGTTCCGAGCCTAGGGGTTGAAAGCTTACAATGGGCGGGCTACGTTGTTCAGGGGTCCTTGCAGTAGGGATCTTCATGTAGTGTTGAGGGTCTGGGTGGGCGCCCGCTCGTTTTGCCCCCGGTCTAGGAGACTGGACGGCCGTTTCGTGAGACACACTCACACAGCCCTGGCTTGCGAAGGGTTTGTTCTAGAGGTCCTTCTGAAGGAGGGACCAGTGGGAACGCAGGAAATCCTAACACAAGAAGGTAACCCCACCTTTCGGACAATGACTACTTGAGGCAAGTATGTTGAAGAACTACCCTGTGTTTTGCCAGGCCTGTGCCAACTCTTTTGCCATTGTGGTGGGCTTTGTCTTGACTCCACCATGAGCCGCAGAAAATCTCTGCCGGTGGCTCATACCCTGACTGCTCGAATCGTTTTGCCGAGTTTTTCCGATTGTCGTATTCGCAGCATATTTAGGCTGCAGAAATCAACTTCCCACGTAGATGCGAGGACCCAGGCGAAAATATTCGGCAACCGACCGGTTCGTCTAACCTTCAATCCAGGCCAGCGAAGCCTCCGAACTTGTGCTCCAACTTTCCGAGGTTCTAATCTCTACAGGTCGGTGAATCTGCAGATGTTCATGTGGTGCGTAGAACGAAGCTCCCCCTCCGTCGCGACGAAGCAAGATGCAAGCCCTGCTGGCAAAGTCCTTTGCCTAAAGCCTCAATAATACGCTGATTCTGAGAGCACTAGAGTTTATCTTTTGGAGTTGCTAGTTTGGCGGGAGCGTGATAAGCGTCAGCTTCATGCGGAGCAGAACCGTCGTGACTATCGTGTGGTGTTCTTCATCAGCTTTTCGCATCAGCACCAGCACCACCATCATCGTCATCATGATCGCCATCATCATCCTCACAACACCGGCATCAACATCATGATCGTAGTCGTCCTCTCACTACATCAGCGTCTTTCTGCGGCGTTGCCATCGTTGCTTTCTGTTCCTGGTATTGCAGCTGGTGCCTAGTGCTCAATTTACGACATAGACACAAGCTATAGGGACAGCAACGACAGCATCAACTGGCATCAAAAGCCGGAGTCTCTGTTCGATTTGGAGTCATAAATACCCCAGGTGCGACCCCATTTCGTCCCCAAAGCCTCTAGGTAGCCGCTAAAACCCAAGCATAGGGGCCTGAAGACTTAGTTATACTCGACGAGCAAACCGATAAAAGTGCTTCGCTTAGATCCTAAATGCACAGAGCCCTTGAAACCTGGAGTAAGCACATCAGACACCTTCCCCGTGGTCTTTGTGCGAACAGCAGGGTTCAGGGGTTAGGGGTTTACGGGGTTTAGCCCCCAAATCCTTCAAGGACGACGCTGACACACATTGCCCAGGGTCCTCAACCACGGGACGCTCCATGAGTTAAAGATGCAGACAAGGTATGGCTAGGAAAAAGATCCTAAACCTGAAGCTCCAGAGCCCGAACCCAAAAGCCCCGATACCCAAAGCTCTGAACACGAAAACCCGAACTCTAAACATTTAAGCCCGAATAAATGCACTGGAACCCTGAGCTCTGAACCCTGCTCCAAATCTGGCTCAAGCTGGCGAAGACTGCAAGGGATACAGGATCCTTCACCCTGCAGACGGAATCTGGGTCTTTGTGAAGCAGGGTCTTAGTACAATGTAGGGGCCGGAATAGTTACGAATAGTATCCCTTGATCGTCACTGCGCGAAGCTACCAGAATTTAAGGGCGCTGCAGGGATCAATTTCGGAATAAGCGCTACTCCATAACACCCTGAAGCCACTACCCTTGTACAGCCATTAAAGAAACCCTGCAAAGACCCTGTCAGACCCCCTCGCTCTTCTGCAGGGCTTTCCGTACAAGATTTGGGTAGAAAGGGCTTGCGGCTTACGGGCTATGGGTGCAGGAATGAGGGGGAGGGAGTGAGGGGTAGGAATACGGGTCCCACAAATCTTCATAGGGCTAACGGGGTCTGTCTATATGAGAAAGGGCTTCGGCTTTAAATTTATGGTTTTGGGTTAGTGTTAGCTGTAGAAGAGTTTAAGCTGGGTGCCTCAGCCTGAATTCAAAGCCCTCATAAGGTCTCGTTTAGGAGTTTAAAGGTTTGGGCCCCAGGGTCCCGCTTGGGCCGTACACCCTAAGGCTTGGGTTTAAATTTCGGATGAGTTGAAAAGACCCTAGGCCCTGCGCCCCAATAAGCTTTTGGAGTTCCGGCTGGAGGTGACTCTGAACTGCAGACTCTGAGGTCTTAGAAAGCCTTTTATCTCCCGGGCTTTTGAGGAAACTTGGTGGGGTTTTATGACGATTTCGATGTAAGCTCCTTAACATGCCCAGGAAGGCTGCATGAAACTGTTGAACAACAGTTATGATCCTCATTTGGCTGGAAGGACAGTGTTCGCAGTTCGAGGACCCTCAGTCACGAACTAAAAATTATTCAATGTCAAAACAAAGCTCCGCCATCCGCCTTCACAGAACAACGCAAAATACCAACGGACTACTTCATAGAAGCTTTGTGTCTTCTGGAAGCCAAGGAAGTTGCACTTGTGGCTGAATGATCCCCTAAACCCTAACTCAACCCAGCAAGAGGGTCTTCTTGGGGCCTCTGCTTTTTTGGCGGGGCCTTCTGCTGCGTTTGAGCGTCTCTGGGTGTTGACCCAAGTTTGGTGCCGTGTGTATTGTGATTCTTCTTACGGTGGCGAGCACGTTTGATGTCGAGCCGACTTGTCGATTGAAGTTGTGTCGATTTCTCTTTGCTTGCTTTTGCGATTGCGTCTAGATTCTAGATGTTCGACTGATAGTTGCTTAGACTGTTCTGGCACTGCGGTCTCTGACTTCGAGTTGAATTAGTTTTATCGGTTTTGGAGACCCACTGTCTCACTAGCAATTGAAGATGATATGGTTTAGGGTGTGTTTTGTTATTTGGTGAGTAAGTGTAAGTGTAGCTGGGTCCTTTTGTTTTGTTGGTTCCTCGTTTTGGCGCAGCTTGCAGTAAGGATCCTACGCTGTAAGCAGTTTCCCTAAACCCTACAAGTCTGAATCACCCATAATCACCCTGTATTCTCTGAACGTCGCATGTAGCTCAGGATTTTCCCCAGCGAGGCAGATGGCACTGGGTGTGAGCGCCGTTGCCACTGGGTGTAACACAGAGGTGTAACGGCTGGCACGCCAGCATTCAGTTTAAGTGTTAGGGTTTCAGGTAGTAAGCAAAACCCCAAACACCAGACCCTTAAGAACTAGCTTGAACCCTGCCGAATCCCAGAGGTATCCGTTGTTTCGGATTTCTGGAGTTCTGTGAGGACAAGGAGTTACAAAAAACGACTTGTTGCTTTCGTAGAGGAGTAGAGATTCTTTCACGAAGGGACATAGAGGTGTTGGGCCTGATAGACAGACGAGCCGACAGAACAACCGCACCCGTACTGTCGCACGGTTCCTGGGCTCTCCTCTTTTCGCCATAAGCCGGATGTATATCTCAGTTTCCCAGGCCTTGGACGCTCTATGTAATCCCAGACCCCAATTCAATCCCGACAGCCCTAACCCGAAAACTTTTAGAAAGCCCCAAGACCGAAGCACCCTCAACAAAACTCAGCTGCACCCGAAATCCTGTCAAAATCCGGTACCTGAATACTAAAGCCTCCCTCAGACCCTGAATCCTTCAAAATCCTTTACCGAAGAGTTCTTGCATCCAAAACCCTGTTATAGTATTGAGAATTACAACAAGAGGTCCCTAATGGAACGATACCCTACAAAACCCTTATGCCGCCGTGAACAAATATGATCAGAACCCGTATAGAAGCATTTCGAACCCTTTAGGCCCCAAACCCTTCAGCTGAGGATCGAGAGATCGCGTCCCTACCGCCGTCCAAATTTTGGGGGCCTGTGGTGACGGGCCCTCCACCAGGCGTGAGTAGTCGTCGTCGTAGTAGCAATAGTAAAGGTTCGTATCACTCTTTCATAATCTTTCATATATATATATATATATTACAGTGGTAGCGGTAGCGCTAGCAGCAGCGGGGCGGTGGTGGTAGTGGTAGTGGTAGTAGTCGTAGTAGTCGTAGCACCCGTAGGCGTAGCCTTAGTCGTAGTAGCAGTAGTAGCACTAGCTATTGTCGTCGCCGCAGTAGTAGTAGTTGTAGTCGTAATCGCAATCGTAGTCGTAGTGGTTGTTGTGGTAGCAGTCATCGCAGTAGTAGTCGTCGTCGTAGTAGTGGTTGTAGGTCCTTACGGTCTTACGGTTGCTCGCAAACTCCAACACCCTTCATGTGTACTCAGCCGAGCTTCCTTCTTTAAAGGGTCTTTCTCGGACAATGTGTGCTCTTTTGTTGGTTCAAGGGTTTGGGGTCAGTAAATGCGATGGCACTTAAATTCACCGCAAACCACCCCCCAAAAGGAAGCCCACCGAAACGCCAAACCAATCGGGATCTCAACAGAACCCAAGAGTGACCCCTAAAAGGACCCCAACAGGCAACCCAAGTCACGCCCTCAAGGGAACCCAAAACAGCCTGAAGCGCATAAGGTTTAACATGGGGTCTGGATGAGACTTGTTTGTTTCTTTGGAGGAGATGATATATTCTGGCACAGCTATTTCTAAAAGGCCTATCCCTGAACCCAAACCCCGACACCCGTGCATTACCGGCTAGTCCGACCCCTGGGTAGGTGGTTGAGATGGCTTGTTAAGCCTTAGTTTAGGGTTTAGGGTTTAGGGGCTTAATACCTAGGACGTAGGGTTTGATGAAGCTGCAGGCATCTGGGTACGGTTGGTTAAGCCTTTCCACCCTGCATCCTGAACCCCAAAACCCTGAAGCCCTGAATCCCTAAACTTTCCCTAAACCTTGCAAGTCCATCCCACCCCTACAAACCCCTGTGAATAAAAATCCTAACTGCTCCAGAGCCCTGACCCCCCAAAACCCTAAAGCCCTAACCTAAACCCTAAGCCCTGCACCCGAAACCCTACACCCCAAACCCTGAGGCCCGAAGCCCTAAAGCCTAAACCCTAAAGCCTCTACACCCTTTGACAGGCCTTGAGCACATGGCGATCGAGCTCCTGCAGCACCCTCTTCTCAACATGATGCATCAGTTGGAGGCACCTGCGGGCTTCTTCCTAGTAAGGTGGGGGGGGGGGGTGCCTTTCATGGGGGCTCGTATAATGAGGCAGTCGGGATCATGCGATAGTTCAGATTTGTGATCGTGTCTACCATCTGCAGACCTACAAGCCTAAACCGGTAATCCCACAACACTTAAAGCTCAATCCCTCACGGCGTGCTCTTTTGACAAATACATGAACGACACCACAATAAACACTGCGAGTGTTATGGTGTGCCTTGTAGTTCCCTCGTGGGACCTTTCAGAAACAGCACTTAAGACCCCTTACCTACCGAGTCTCAAGTAACTGCCCACGAAAGCGTAAATCCATGACATAAGATCCCTGTTGCCTACTATAAGAAGGAATACAGTATACTATAAGGAAGCCTGTTACCTACGGACCCCAAATACCAACATCATCGTACATAGCCCCCTGCTCGTATACATAATATGTATGTATGTATATATATATATATATATTAACAACAAAACTCAAATCAGCTCGTTAGGATACCCAGTAAGTAGAGTCAGAATGTAGGGATGAGGGTATGGGCGTTTAGAATCTGGGCAAAGAGAGAGGCAGGGGACTCGGCCATTGGGGTTCAGGGCTTGCTGGTTACACGGTATATCCCTGTACTCTAACCTCTGATTAGGGATAAGGGTTTAACGATTTAGGGGCTCTTTAGGATGGTATCGGTTTAGGGTTGGGTTTAGGATGGCTTAGGATGAACTTACGATGTAAACGAACCCTCATACCTAAGTACCAAAATCCTACTGCCGAGAGGAGCCCATTCTGCTAGATGTCATGGTCCTTCTGGTGTAAGGGCCTACGTCCCACCGGTCCAACTTGTCGTGATGCTGTTGAGAGGATTAGCATAAACTCGTAGTTTTTGCTTAGTCAGTTTGGTCGGTTTAGTACGTGGTATCTTGCTCGCATCTTCCGTGACACAGACTCTGGTGTCGAGTTTGAAAATCACCTTGGCAGGAGCTTCCAAAGAAAAGTTGGTGCAGTTAACGCAGTGACCGTATCGCATATTATGTAGGATACAGGTGTAGTTATCAGAGCCTCTCGTGCCATCGGCGCGGCCGGTTGTGAACTCCGTGTGGCGAGTAGGGAAGGCAGTTTGGGAATCAGCAGGCACTCAGCATGAGCCTGTCGCCCGAGCTGCACATTGCGCTTCAGCGCATAACTGCTTGCAATAAAAGCGAGCGCTTGGTGATGGTGGTACGCGACGACCTGATCAAAAGTTTGCAAGCCGGACAGACCGCAGTGGCTTATGCACACGAAGCGTGGATGCAGCTTGAGCGATTGGGTGCGGACGTGATGTCCATCGGAAGGTTAGTCGGTTTCGTTGACAGGGACAATTTGCACAAGGCTTTCAAGGACTCCAAGCTCCTGATGCGTGACAGGGTGGTGTGGCAAGCTATGGGTCGTTTCCGCACGATGCTGGATACGCAAGTCATCATGGACTACCTGGCGGTGATCGTCAACAGCGACAACACACGGCTCAGTCAATTACGGAATGCCTACTACAAGGTGCGCGACTCACGGGATTCGGGGTCTTTTGATTCTAGGAGGACAAGGCTCACTTTTGTGTTGATCCGGTGCCAAATCTCCGAAACGACACCCTTGCCTCATGTGGAATAGGTGTGCACTCGGTTTAGTAAGTGCTGCGCTCGCTGAGGTACAATCTGATATCGTTGCTGAGGTGATGGCGAACAACTATAGCTGGGAGAAGTTCGCCAGGAATGTGTGCGGCAATTTTGAAGACGACGACATGCAGGTCGTCCTCATGAACCTAGGCCGTCTGGTGGATCTCAGCGAGCAGAATTTCTACCCGAGCTTGATGGAAGTGCCCGGCATCGTCAACGATGCTCTTTCGAAGACACGACCAGAATCCCAAGCGCAGTTGCCAGGCGGCACGACCACCAACATTCCAAAGATGACGTCTGACGCCATTTCCCTGCAGGGGTCCTTAGCCGAACTTGGACGTGTTCTTGCCTACCCCGACTTCGTGGACCCTGTGTATGATGCCCTGAAGCTGAGCAA